AGTATGTACAAAGTCCTGGGTTTCCCAAATTTACAAATATAGGCTTGGACTGGAGTTGTGGCTCAAGTGATAGAACGCCTGCTTCACAAATGTAAAGCCCTGAGTTCAAACCCTAGTCTCACCAGAAAGAAAAGAAAGGTAAAAATATGGGCTATATAGCTCTAATGGGCAAAAACTTGTTCTATTCATGAAGACAACAAATCAGGTTATCCTTTATAGTAAATAATTTATAGCTCATTTAGAAATTGAATTAATACCCCTTAATGAAACTTGTTTATAATGGCAATAAAAGAGTTACAAATAAATAAAACTTTTTAGAAAAGGAATCACTTTGAAAGATCTCCCACTAGTCAAAGGTGGAGTGAGTTGAACATCAATTATGGTAAAAACTGCAGTGCATTTGAACACAACAAACACATTTGAATCAATGAGTTTATAATGATACTGAGAAAACAAACAGCTCTCATTAGTCACCTCTGAAGGATGCTAAGAAAACAACTCAAACTGACCAAGATGAAAATACTTAAGCTTTTATCCTGCCTTTCCTATACAAACTGCACCTTGGGATAATGAAATAATTGATGTGAATAAATTTATCTTTATAAAATTACTGCAGATGATGAAGAATAATAATAGAATAAATGGATTTAGGCAGTCATGTTCAATGGCTATCATAAAAAGATACTTCCTCACAGAAGTATGCACCATTCCTCATGAAGCAGTCTAGCCAAAAAAGAAACACACACACACACACACACACACACACACACACCAAACCTGAATCTGATTAAACTCCATCTAACTACCAATTCATAGGAAATATAAAGAACAAGGAAAAATGATAAACATCTTAGAGATACATTGAGCAGAGTACAGATTGTAGTGAGCTCTTCAGGACAAATGACCCAGTTTCTTCAGATACAATTGAAAATGCAAAGTTGGCTGTGGTGGCAAAGTCCTGTATCCCCAGCACTCAGGAGGTGGCACGGCCAGCCTAGACTATATAGCATGGGACCTATAGATCATGTAAGATTTAAGACATGTATTATTAATCAATTGCCACATATGGGCCTTATATGAATCTTAATTCAAAGAAGAAAAAGAAGAATTTTATAGGACAATTTTATAGTCAATGAGAACATTGACTGAATATTTGGTGACATAGGCACCAGTAGCTCATGCCTGTAATCCTAGCTACTTGAGAGGCTGAGCTCAGAAGGATCATGGTTTGAGCCAGCACAGGCAAATAGCACAGGAGACCCTGTCTCCAAAATAAACACAGCAAAATGGACTGGAGGTGTGGTTCAAGTGGTAAAGTCACTGCTTTACAAGCACAAAGCCCTGAGTTCAAACCCCAAGAAGATAAAGCAAAACTACTACTGTAAACCAGATGTGCACATTGGTGCACATCTGTAATCCCAGCACTTGGGAGGCTGAGGCAGGAGAACAGTGAGTTGAGGCCAGCCTGGGCTACACAGAGGAACATCTCAAAAAAGAAAACATTTTTAGAAAGCTATCCAAGATATTGGTAATAGCAACAGTCCTCTAGGGTATGAGACAGGGAGGGGGATCAAGACTTACTTTTTATTGTACAATTACCATATTACTTGTGTAACAAATTGAATTATTTTATTTCAATAGTCAAAAAAATACATAATTGCATATTTCCCCTTCTTTACCAAATAATTATCATCAGCCTACAAATGTACCTTGAACACACTCAGTTTTTGCTTTGCTTTGTTTTGGCAGTTTTTAGTTTGAACTCAGGGCTTCTTGTAAGCACTGTACCCCTGCGTCACACCCCCAGTCCTTTTTGCTTTAGTTTATTTCTCAGGTAGGGTCCCACTTTTAGCCAGTGCTGTGATCCTTCTACCTACACTTCCCACATAGCTGGGATTACAGCTGTGTACCACGCCTAGTTTGTTTGTTGAGACTGGGGGGGTGGTGTTCAGCTTTTTGCCTGGGCTGGCCTCAACCCTCAACTCTTTAGCTCTCTGCCTCCTGAGTAGCTGGGATTACAGTCATGAGCTGCTATACCTGGCCTCTGTATTCTCCTTTATAGGCAAAATTTTCAGTAAAAGTTCTTATTGTCACTATCTCCTCTCCCTCAGATTTCATTCCCTTTTCATACCACTCCTCTTCCCCATTCTTCTCAAACTCCCCTTGTCAAGGTTGCTAGTGAATTTCATGTTGCCAAATCTAACAGACCTCTGCATTAACTGGTTCAGTCCATCAAGAGCATTTGACACAGTTAACTATTACTCTCATGATATATTACCCTTTATAAATTTCCAAACATCACATTCTTCCTTTTTTACTCTAAACATTGAAAGGTTGAGTCTTTTTTCTTTTTTGGTGGAACTTGGATTTGAACTCAGGGCCTTACGCTTGCTATGCAGGCGTTCTTACCACTTGAGCCACACTGCCAGTCCAAGGTCAAGTCTTAAGCTTTCTTCTCTTCTCCAGCTACATTCTCTCCTTAAGTAAGTTCATCAAGTCCCATGGCTGCAAATACTGTTTGCCAATGTCTCCAAATTCTACATCTCTAACCCTGACCTCTGCTTTGAGATCCAGACTCATGCAGGCAACTGCCTACTAAGTATCTTACTACTAATTGGTATTTTAAACTTAATACACTCAAAATAAGTCTCTTGATTCTCCTTCCCCAAACCTATTTTTCTTACAGTTTACATGCCCTCTTTCAATAAATGGTATCACCATCCACCCAGCAATATCTTAAGCCAAGACTAAGTGTCATCTGAGTGTCCCCTTTTCCTTCTCCTCTTTTTGTAAATATTGTCCCTTCAGCCCCCAAAATACATCTTGTTTCTATCCACCTTTTTATCTTCATTGTCATCCTCTTAGTTCAAACCAGCATTCGTTATGTCTTACTTATACTATTGTAGCAGGCCTCTAATAGCTGAGAATCATACTTTTGAGGATTAAATTGGGTCATGTCCCTCCTTAAAATCTTTTAATGAAAATTGACAAGCTGGTTCTAAAATTCTTAAGGGAGAAAAAGGGACAATAGCCATAACAACTTTTTTTTGGAGACAGGGAATTGCTTTGTAGTCCAGGCTGACCTTGGACTGAGATCTTCCTGCCTCAGCCTTCCAAGTGTTAGGATTATCAGGTATGGGCCATCATGTCTTTTTCTTAAAAGTGTCTGTATGTACATGTGTGTATATGCAATAGAAAAGGAATGGGGGAGGGAAGAGAGAGAATACTCTTATTTTACATACTCCTATATTGTATGAATTGTTAGAATGAGCACAAATTTTATTTAAATGCTTGAAATAAAAACAATCAAATTAATACAAAGTCTACCGTATATTATCCTAGTTGGAGAATAGAAGAGGTATGTACCACCCCCAATATCATTATTCCATTTTTTACTTTTTAAGTTTTATTTTATCATTTTCATTACTCCATTAAAAAATTTTGTAGGAAAAAATATACTACTACTCAGCCTCTACTGTAAGGTTGGCAGCTCTGAGAACTTTTTAAGTGTAGCATGCTATGGATTTATTCTTCTTTTAAAAAATTTTTGAGACTGAGTCTTGATGTGTTGCCCATACTGGCTTTGAACTCCTGGGCTCAAGCAATCCTCCCACCTCGGCCTCCCCAGTAGTGAGGACTGCATACTTTGATCCCCCCCAAAAACATCAAAGTGAATCTGTTATCTTTTAAAAAGGCAGGGGAGGCACAGAAGTGCATCGGGTTAATAAAGATTTTCTTAGATGACTTGTAAAACAGAGGAATTCAAAGTAATTTGGAAAAGAAAAATATGCCTGAAATGTCCACATCAATCTACACACATCAAACTATTTATCTTTGGTTTTCTCTGGTGGGGAGGATTACGGAAGGAAGAAAAAATTAGTGTCCTTATAATTCATACAGGCAACGTTTGACTGCTATTAGCATAAACTAATTTTGATCATTTAAAATTATAATGTTTAATAATAAATAATTTAAAAATAAAACTTTAAATAAAAGAAAACCAAGTTATTTCATACGCTACAAATAAAAAAAAAAAAGTAGAAGCACGAAAGACAACAATTTGTGATGGTTCTAGAACAGGCTCTGAATCAGAGGCCTAGGTTAATGAACCCTGGCTGAACCACTTTCCCAGTTCTGTGACTTTGGGCAAGAGTCCAAACTTAATTTTAGTGATCTGTAAAATGGGAACCATGACAGCTTCTGTCTGAGATGAAATTCTGCGGGGGCCTCGGGATAATGATTTGGTGAATTTAGGGAAGGTACGAATTGGATTAGGAATGCTGATAACTTTTTCACTCTTTTTCCTCCTTAGACAATCAGAAAGCAAGCTGTGTGAGCGGAACCCCGAGTCAAAAGTGGGATGAACATCACTATTACCTCTAGGAGGGAGGCAGGGCTGGGGCACTGACCAGAGCACTGGAGAGATCAGCCGCTATTCTCAGCCTCTTAAGAGGGACTACACGTCCAGATAGATCAAAGAAAAGGTCGAGTTCTTGAGAAGGGACGTCGGGAGGGGCGTCCTTTCCCACTTCATCCCAACCAGGAAAAGCCCTCCTGGGTAGGAAGTTTCCAAACTATCCAAATTAACACCCCTTGTGCCTCAACAGCACCCCCACCACAACTGTCTTTCTCAACACGTCCTTTCTCCTACCAATGTCCCTTCTCTCACCAATGTCCCTCTGTTTCCTTCCACTAACTAGTTCAGACTTCTTTCTTCTGTCCAAGTCTGTCGCGGGCCACAAGGGTCCCCGACTGTTAATCTCGTTTCTCCTTTCTCTCAATTCCTCGCCCTCTGCCCCAGACCGCGCTGTAACTCTTAATTCCTCCACCTCTCCCTCTCAGTGTAAGTCACTGCCTCAGTTTCCCCCTCCTCCACCTCAGGGACCGGTCCTCCGCGGTTCCCCCGCCACTACCTCAGGTTCCCAGGCCTTCACCTCAGCTTTCTCCTCCCAGCCTCTGACCGCAAGCTCCGGGCCCACGCCCTCCCGCCTGGCCCCTACCCGGCTGCTCCAGGGTCAGCGCCCCCAGGCGGCGAATGCCCTCCTCGTCCAGATCCCACTGCTCCGCCATCCCCGCCCGCCGCCACCTGCCGCCGCCCTCGAGACCGCCCAGCGCGCGCCAGGCCCCGCCCCCGAGCACCAAGCCCCGCCCCCGAGCCCAGGCCCCGCCCCTCTTGCCGGGTCTCTACCACTACCTGCCCCGCCCACGCCCTGGGTGGCGGTTAGTGGCGGGATCACGCGACTGCCCGCCACACGTAGAAGTCGCTATCATGGTATGGAGCCCGCCCTGACCTGGGCGAAAAACCACCAGGGCGGTGAATGGAGGGAGCTGGGGCCAAGGATTAGGGTTACGGGGTTAGGGATCTGACTTTGGGGCATGAGGGTCAGAGGGTGTCCTCAGCTTTGATGGATGGGGAGGGCGGGCGGATCTGAGTAGTTGGCAGAATACTCGGCCTTGAGGGAAGAAGTGTTCTAGCCCTGATGATTTGGGGGACGCCAGGTTTGAGGGGTGAGGATGTAGTTCTTTGATGGAATGAAGATCTTCATATCTCATCGCCGGGGGATGCTGACTCTGGAGCTACGTGAGTGTGTGTGTGTGTGTGTGTGTGTGTGTGGATGAGAAGGATTGCATGGTAGGGAGCTCCTGAGCTCAACGGTTGGGAGACTTGGCTCTGAAGAATTGAGGTCCTGTATTTAGGAGCATGAGGAGGTTCTAGCTCTAGAACTTGATTTGAAAGAGGCTCCTTTGGGGAAGAGAGATCAGTGTGAAAAGGTGATACTTTTGGGGATAGGGTTTGGATGACCATTTCCCTGCAATCAATTTGGCAAGAAATCATTTGTCCGCAGGGCCCTCCAAACATCCCTGTGTCTTGAAGGCTCTCACCAGGCTGAGATAGCTCGGCACTAACCAGCCCGTGAACACTCTTTTGGAAAGAAAACTCTGGAAAGAACAACCACAACCTTAACCCTTACCTTCATTCCAGCAGGCACTTTAGAGAGCAAACTCTTGACCCAAGATTCTTGTCATACCCTATCCTCAATAAAAATAAATAAATAAATAAATAAAAATAAAAATAAAAAAAGCTGAGTCCAGCTCTGGGGCTATGTTCCAGGAGCAGATTTTCTTTAGCATCCAAAACCTGCTCACCCTGAGCCCCTCCGTTGAGTTCTCAACCAGCTTTTGCCTTTAAGGAGAACACAATACAAAGCTAAGAATCTTTATATATTTATGCTTTCCTGTATAGGTGAGGCCCTTAATTACTCTCAGTTTGTCATTTCCAGTGTGAGGCACATTTAGAAAGGCCAGGACTCAAAAGCCTAGATTAGCTTGTTGGATTGGCTTTTTCAATTCTGCTTCTGAGTCATGACATCATTTCACAATTTGTAATCTTTCTCTTCATGCCCCCTAGAGCTCCTTTAGACTTAAATGTGGCATATATAATTGTTCTTTTTTATATCGGAATTGTTAGATCAGGCTTAGTGTAGAAGAAATAGCCGCTACTTCCTTTTCTTGCATGCAGAATAAGGGATGCAGTTTTTTTGTTGGAGAAGGGGGCTTTGCTTCTCTCAAGCAAGCACTTCTTACTTTAACAGTCCTCCCACCACCAACATTTTATGAAAATTTTTAAGCATTCAGAAATGTTGCAGGCATGGTGGTACAATCCTGTAATCCCAACACTTGGGAGGCTCAAGCAGAAAGATCAAGAGTTTGAAGCTAGCCTGGGCTACATAGTAAGACCCTGTTTCAAAAAATACTGAAATAATTGTACAGTGAGCACCATATACCTGTGTTTGACATTTTCCTATATTCTATATTCTATCATATGTCTGTATTTCCATCCCTCTATTCATCAATCCAGCTTACTTTTTGATTCATTTCAAGATGAGTGATAGATATCAGTACATTGCACCACTTCAACATCACTTCAACATATATAATTTTTTTGATGGTACTGGGGTTTGAACTCAAAGCCTCACAGTTGTTAGACAGTTGCTCTGCCACTTGAGCTATACCTTCTGTGCAAAGTAAAATTATATAAATTATTTATCACTCTTAAAAAAATTTTTTACAAAGGTAATGCTCTTATTTTAAAAATCTGTGACAGATGATTTATATGTTTCATGGCTTTCTACTTTTCCTTGGTGTTGATAAACGAGGTCATCTTGAAGAAAGGAGAAATTCACTTATATATAGATAGCCTTACACTTTTAGTAGTTAGCAGAGGAAGTTTAATGATTTTTGTTGCCTTTTTTGTGTATGAAAAGGCATCTACAGCTTTGAGTCCCCAGTGATATAAGGACACTGCAGGTAGGATCTCAAGAGAGCTTTGCACGTGCCTGATGAGATGAAGGGCATCTTATCACAATTCTCCTTTATTAACAGTCTTATTGAGATGTAATTCATGTACCATATGATTTACCATTTTAAGGTGTACAGTTCAATGATTTTTTTATGTTCAGAGTAGTTGTGCAGCCATCACAATTTTAGAACATTTTTATCTTCTCATAAAGAAACCTACACCTCTTAGTAATAACTCTTTATTCCCCACTCAACCTCCCCAGTCCTAAACAACCACTAATCTACTTCTGTCCCTACAAATTTGCCTCTTTGAATGTTGCTTATATATGAATCATGTACTATGTGATCTTTTGTGCCTCACTTCTTTTACTTAGCATATTGTTTCAAAGTTCATCCATGTTGTAACATGTATCAATAACGTCACTCCTTTTTTGTTGACAAATAATATTCCAGTGAACAGAATACATTTTGTTTATTCATTCACAGATTGAGGGACAAATTCAGTTGAACATAAGTACAAGGGTTCATTTCTGGGCTCTTAATTCTGTTCCATTTATCTGCATGACTTTCTATGCCAATAGTACACTTTCTTAATTACATCAGCTTTGTAGTAAGTTGTGAAAGTGGATGAATCCTATGATTCATCCTCAAATTTTATGAATCCTCAAATTTTGTTTTACTTTTCAAAATTGTTTTGGCTATTTTGGGTTCCTTGTATTTCTATATGAAGCTTGTCTTTTTTTTTTTTTTTTTTTTTGGTGAGACTGGGGTTTGAACACGGGGCTTCATCTTCATGCTTGCAAAGCAGACACACTGCCACTTGAACCACATCCCCAGTTCCATTTTGCCCTGGTTATTTTGTAGATGAGTTCTGCAAACTAAACTTGTCATGTATATGTCATTTATATGTCATTTATATATATATAATATATAATTATACATTATATTATATTAATGTCATTTTATATATATAGTTATTGGTGGGACTGGAATTTGAACTCAGGGCTTTGAGCTTATAAAGCAGGCACTCTACTACTTGAGCCACACCTCCACCCACTTGTCAATTTTTTGTTAAAAAAAAGGCAGGGTGAGTTGGGATTTTTATAGGGATTGTGTTGAATCAATAGGTCAGTTATTGTCATTTCCTTAAAAGACAGGATCTTGCTATGTAGCCCAGGCTATCCTAGAACATGCAATCCTCTTGCCTTCACATACCAAATGCTGGGATTATAGGCATGTACCACCAGGCAAACGAGTATTGCCATCATTTTTTTTTCTGGTGGCACTGGGGATGTGGCAGGCATTTGAGCCACACCTCCAGTCCAGTATTGCCATCTTAACAATATTAAATCTTGCAATTCATAAACATGAGATGTTTTTCCACTTATTTAGGTTTATGGGCCATACTGGGGTTTGAACTCAGGGCCTTGCAATGCTATGCAGGCGCTCTACCACTTGTCACTCTGCCAGCCTTTTTGCTTTGGTATTTTTGAGATAGGGTCTTGCCTGGAAGGCAACCTTCCTATTTGTGCCTCCCGCTTTCTATTTGTGGAATGACAGTCAAGTGCCAAAAACCCCAGCCTTTGGTTGATATGGGGTCTCATAAACTTTTTGCCCAGCTGCACTGAAACTACTATCCTCCCAATCTCTGCTTTCCAAGTAGGTAGATTACAGTCTTGAGCCATGGTACCTAGCATTATTTAGGTCTTTTAAAAATTTCAACAATGAGCCAGGACCTGGTGGCTCACACCTGTAATCCTAGCTACTCAGGAGGCAGAGATCAGGAAGATCATGGTTTGAAGCAAGCCCAGGCAAATAGTTCGAGAGACCCTATCTCAAAAAAACCCATCATACACACACACACACACACACACACACACACAAAGGGCTGGTGGAGTGGCTTACATTGTAGACCCTGAATTCAAACCCCAGTAACAAAACAAAACAAAACAAAAAAACCTCAACAATGAGCTGGGTGGCAGTTGGCTCAGGCCTATAATCCTAGAATGCAGAGATCATGAGGATCTCTGTTCAAAGCTAGTCCTAGGCAAATAGTTTGGGAGATCCTATCTCCAAAAACCAAATACAAAAAGTGGTTCAAGTGGTAGAACACATGTGCAGCAAGCCTAGCAAGCGTGAGGCCCTGAGTTCAAACCCCAGTACGGCCAAAAAAAAAAAAAAATTCAACAATGGCCAGGTGCTGGTGGCTCATGTCTGTAATCCTAGCTACTTGGAGGCTGAGATTGGGAGGACTGAGGTTCAAGACCAGCCCGGGCAAATAGTTCAAGGAGGCCCCATCTCCAAAATAACCAGAGCAAAAATGGGCTTGCAAACTCAAAGCCCTGACTTAAAACCCCAGTCCCACCCCCCAAAAAAATTTCAACAATTGTTTGAAGTTTTCAGAATATAAGTATTATACTTCTGGGCTGAGAGCTTAGTTCAAGTAATAGAGTGTCTGCTGGCAAGTACAAGGCCCTGAGTTCAAACCCCAGTACTGTCCATTAAAAAAACAACAAAACAAAAACCCAAGTATTTCACTTCTTTTGTTAAACTTACCTATATTTTGTTCTTTTGATGCTATTGTAAATGGAACTGTTTTCTTTATTGCTAATGTATAAAAATAGAATTGATTTTTAAAAATACTGATCTGCATCCTTCAACCTTGTTGATGTAACAATAATTTTCTTGTGAATTTCTTAGGATTTTCCATATACATGATCATGTCATCAGCAAATATAGTTTAATTATTCCTTTCCAATCAAGGTGCTTTTTGTTTCTTTTTCTTGTGTGCCTCTATTTCCATTCTTTCTTTAGGAGGAACCTGGCATGCTCCATGAATCAGCAGAGGATTTGTTTCATTTCAATGTGGGGGGCTGGCATTTCTCAGTTCCCAAAAGCAAACTTGCTCAGTTCCCAGACTCGCTGCTATGGAAAGAGGCTTCAACCTTAAACTCTTCAGAAAACCAGAGGCTATTTGTCGACAGAGATGGCTCCACATTTAGGCACGTGCACTATTACCTCTACACCTCCAAGCTCTCCTTCTCCAGTTGTGCAGAGCTGAACTTGCTCTATGAGCAAGCACTGGGGTTGCAGCTGATGCCTTTGCTGCAGGTAGGATGTTCTTCCTTTCCATGAGTAGTGGTCAGTAACATAGGCTTTACATCATTGAATGTTGTTTCTTTTCTATATTGGTTGCTGAGATGATCCTCTTAGTGGGCGAGGGTGATGAATGAGTTAAAGTAATGGACAATACATAGGAATTGCATTGTTTTGCTTTGTTTCCCTTTTGTTTTTGAGACAGGGTTTTGCTATGTAGCCCAGGCTGGCCTCAAACTCACAGTTCTTTTGCATCAACCTCTTAGGTTCTAGGATTACAGGCATGAACCACCGCATCCAGCTCTGAATTGCAGTTTTAATGAAGGATTTCATCCTGGCTCTGCCTTATTTATATCACCAGCCACATGGACCCAGGATGGAATTTATTGTCAACTGGGTATCCTTGGCTCTTGCAAATCTTATTTTAAGTGGCTCCTTATTTTTGTTGTTGAATTTTAAAAGGAGAAAACTTTACAAATTGTAACCTTTGCTATGTCCACTATGTCTAAGATTCAAAAAAATTCTAAAAGATCCATCAAGAATATGACTTTTACTGGGCATCGTGGCTCACATCTATAATCCTAGCACTCGGGAGGAAGCAGGAGAATCACAAATTCAAGGCCAGCCTGGACTACATAGGGAGATTCTGTCTCAAAAGAATTTTGCTTCTCATTGTGCCTGTTAGATATGCAACATTCACTTTGGCAAAGCAGAAAGTTCTCTAAACTGCATTTTCCCAAGAGACCTATTTTAAGAGCTGTAAATTCCTTTACTTGTAAACCATTAAAGTACCACCAAAACCATTACCTTCTTTTTTAAAGTTTTCTCCAAACTACAGAAATCATTTCTGTGGCTGATTTTAAGTAGTTTATTTGGTAGTTTTTGAACAAGGATTTTTTTTTGGCAGTACTGGGGTTTGACCTCAGGGCCTCATACTTGCTAGGCAGGCCCACTTGAGCCACCCCACCAGCTCTTTTTTGTGATGGGCTTTTTTGAGAGAGGGTCTCAAGAACTATTTTCCTGGGGCTGGCTTTGAACCAATATTCTGCTGATCTCTGCCTCCTGAGTAGCTAGGATTGTAGGCATGAGTCACTGATGCCCAGCTGAACAAGGATTTGTTCTTTTTTTTTTTTTCGAAAGTGGAAGAACTAACTACTATGAATGGGAAGAACCATTGGCCATGTTCCATATTAATCCCACTGTGTGGATAAAGTGCTTCGTCCGCCTCCACAGGTGCTATCTCATCAAACTAAGTACTGCTCTTTGCACCAACAATTATGCCTCCCCAACACCTCTTAGAAGAAAACTGAGGTAGACTGTACTTATGTGGTTCATAGAGGAACAAGAACATTTATCTTATAGTACATGTGTTTTCAGATGCTCCTTGCTAAATAATTCAATGTTTTTTCTTAAAAGTTATTATATATTCAGAAATTTAAAACTCTTAACATAACTCCAAGATGTTATATTACTCTTTAGTTTTTTCAAGCTACCCACTTGAGTTAATTTTTTTTCCCTACTGTCTCAAGGATTGAATACTAGAATTGATTACAAGTAGCTTCAAAAGCCCTTAACTGGTCTGGGCTGTCGGTTGCCAAGGCATTATTTTGTGGAGAAAGAGAGAGAGTAACTTGCTCATTGCCAGAAAATCAAAGAGATCAAAGCAGTTCTTTGCTTACTTTTTTGGGAGTGGGGTGGTACTGGGAGTTTAATTCAGAGCCTCACTCAATGCAATTTTTTGAAGAACAACTTTAAAAAATGCAAATATTTTATGCAAACAGCTTATTAAGACTTTTACCCTTTTGCTGTTTTCAGTTCCCACACTAAAACAAAATATATCTGAGAAGCAACTTCTAAGTGGGAGGCAACAGCTCAGAGGCCAATGAGTTGGTCTGATTCCAAAGTTCCAAGATGTGTGAGCAGTAGAATTTGAAGAATTATGTGGATTTATCTCCCTAAAACAGACTGTGAGACAAGCACCTATCCTTTGGAATGGCGTTTTCAAAGAAATAAACATTTGGGCTGGCCCAGTTGAAGTGGTATTTATTCATTGAAGCTAAATGTAAATACAGCTGGGAACCAGCAGCCGCCTCAAGCAAGTCAACAGCCTCACACATTTTCAGCACTTTCCCTCCAGCCAGGGCCTATCCATATACTCAGGTTTTTTGCCTAAATAAACAAACACTTGGCTTGGAGAAAATGCATTTGCCAATTCTTAGTCTAAACACTCTTCTCAAACAGCCCCACTCTTCATCCAGTATTTATTGAGAGCATTCTGAATTCCAGGCATTATTTGTATAAGTTTTAGGGAAAACAGGGAATGATACAGTAAGGATATAATGTGAGCCATGTGTGTGAGAGCCACATATGTAATTTTTTTTAAGAGATGGGGGTCTCACTGTGTCACGAAGGCTGACCTTGAACTCCTGGACTCAGAGATCCACCTGTTTTAGCCTCCCAAGTAGTTGGGGCTATAGGTACACATTACTGCACCTGGCTTTATGTGCAGGTGCACATAATTTATTTTAAATTTTCTAGTAACCATATTTTAAAAGGTAAAAAGAAGCAAGTGATTTTCTTTTAGCAGACTCAGCAAAAAAAAAGTTTTTATTTTATTTATTTATTTATTTAGTGGTACTGGGGTTTGAACTCAGGGCTTACACCTTTAGCTACTCTGCCAGCCCTTTTATTGTGATGGTTTTTTTTCGAGATAGGGTCTTGTGAACTGTTTTGCCCAGGCTGGCTTCAAACCGTGATCATCCTCATCTCTGTCTCCTGAGTGGCTAGGATTAAAGGCGTGAGCCGTAGGCGTCCAACTGCCCAGCTTTTTATTTATTTTTTAAAGGTTTCACTGTTCTATTTCATGGAAGTATATAAAGTTCACTGACAATATTCACCCTCCCTTATCCCTTAAGAAGCAGGTGATGTTAATTTTAATGATATGCTTTATCTAACCCAATACTTAAAAATTAAAAATAGAGACATTACTTTTTTTTTTTGGTCAGTACTAGAGTTTGAACTCAGGGCCCAACACACTTGCTATGCAGGTGCTCTACCACTTGAGCCATACCTCCAGCCCTTTTTAAGTTATTTTTCAGATAGGGTTTCATGATTTTTTGTTTTGTTTTGTTTTGGCAGTACTGGAGTTTGAACTGTTGAACTCAGGGCCTCATGCTTGCTAGGCAGGTGCTCTACTTTACCATTTGAGCCATTCCACCAGTTATTTTTTTTTAGGGTCTCATGGTTTTTGCCTGGGCCAGCCTAGACTATTATCCTCCTACTTACACCTCCCACATAGCTGAGGTTGCAGTCTTGAGCCAACATGCCTGGCATTTAATTCTTTTCTTTTTTTTGTATTAAGTCTTCAAATTCTGATTACAGGTGTGAGCCACTGGCACCAAGCTAAACTGTACACTTTAAAAAATGGGTACATTAATGTGAAATAAAGCTGAAAAAAAAAGTCATTGGTTGCTGTCTTGATATTAGGTCAGGGGATGCAAACTATAGCCCATGGACCAAGTCCAGTTTACTGCCCATAAACTAAGAATGTTTTTAACTTTCACATGGTCAAAAAAATTAATATTTTATGCCATGTAAAAATCATGTAAAATTCAAGCTTCAGTGTCCAAATATCAGTTTTATTGGAATACAGCATGCTCACTTGTATTATCTATGGCTGCTCTCAAGCTATAACACAGAGCTAGGTATTTGAGTTGGCAGAGATCATATAGCTAGCAAAGCCTGAAATATTTAGGACCTGGTCTTTTACAGAAAAATGTGCTGACTCCTGACCTGGTCTCTACATGGACAAGGGAGGAAGCAGGAAGACCAGTTTAGACACTCCTAGAGCATCCAGGTGAAAGATAATGGTGGTTTGGTCTCAGGTGGTAACAGTGGAGTTAGAAGTATTTAAATTCTAGGTATGTTTTGTTTGTTTGTTTGTTGGCAGTACTGGGGTTTGAACTCAGGGCCTCACACTTATTATGCAAGTGCTCTACCATTTGAGCCAGTCTGCTGGCCCAAATTCTGGATATGTTTTGATGGTAGAACTAACAGGGTTTGGCGATACATGGGATATAGGATATGGGAGAATGAATAGCTCCTCTGTTTCTATCCTGCAACCAGGTGGATAGGATCAGTTGGCTCTAGGGGTATAAATTGGGAATCATCAAAGCTGATTGATATGTAAATCTTTGAACTTGGAGGTTTTAGAATGTTGTGTTTTGTTCATGGGGGAAAGACAAAGTAGTCATTACAGGTCCATACATTAATATCACAGGGTTTCCTGGAACTCTTTTTTAATTTAATTATTTTATTTTATTTTTTTTACATTTACTCACATGTGTGTACATTGTTTGGGCTACCTCCCCCTTTCCCCCCGGCCCCAGTTTCCTGCAACTTTATGTATAATTTGAGAAGTCCTCTTAAATGTAAGCTGCTCTGAGCCTTTCACGTGCCACCAGACTGATTGGGAGTTACAGCTGCTATTGCAGAATGGGAAATTTCCCTTCTGGGTCACTCACAAGAGTTCAAGGTTCATTGGAGACTATTGGTTTCCTTACACTTGCCCCTTAAAGTCCACTGAGGACATATTAGATTGATCCCAGGGCCTTGCACATTCTCTAGCACTGACCTAAACTCCAGCCCTGTGTTTCATTTTTCATTGTCTTCTAGGACTTAGTCTTAAATCATTCCACTTGTAAACAATCCACTACCAGTAAGCAACCCAAATACTCTTGTGTTCCTTGTGCTCAAGGGAGCTCTAGAGTTTTTATGTTGATCACACAAATGACGCTTTTAAGAAATAACCAGTGTCTGGGCATCAGTGGCTCACACCTGTAATCCTAGATACTCAGGAGGCAGAGATCAGGAGGATCTCGGTTCAAAGCTAGCCCCAGGCTAACAGAGAAACCCTATCTCAAAAATACCCCAAAAACAGGCCTGGAGGAGTGGCTCAAGTGGTAATGTGCCACCTAGCAAGCATGAAGCCTTGAGTTCAAGCCCCAATACCACCA